ATTAGGAAATCCTCTGACTTCATCTGCAAAAAAAAGACTGTGGAAGCACTTTTTCTCTGTCCCATTTAACAGAAATACAGTTGTCACAGTGAAAAGCCACTGACCAAATGGTCTTACACTCAGCTTGTAATGGAGAGCTCCATCTTGTGGTGTCATCAGACAAACTTCCCACAGAAGTTTGACTGTGTGGAAAGTTAATGTTGGAGTCGTAGTCTATAGAAATAGTGAGGAATACACAAAAAGAGAACAAACCTATTGAAAGATTTTCCAGCAATTTTCAACAAAATGGATGACTTATGACTTTTCAACATTTGGTTATCAGTCACACTTGAAGATACCTACACATAAAATAATATTTTCACAAATCCTTCAGTTTTTCCTTATTAAAGAAACTGAGGTTGCTGATAGGTGTATTGATTTTGCATAACAGTATCATTAATAATATACCAACATTTAAGAGATATTTTGATGTTCTTCTCAACAGTTTACTGACCACATGAACTTTTCATGGCACAGAATAAAAGCCTGAGCGACAAACGCAAGGTTTGTTTTTCTAAAGTCCATTCAGATGCAATCAAAAATTCATGAATGTGAACAAACATAAAACCAGGACATCAAACATCAGGTAAAAGTTCTTAAAACCTTATCAATTATTCAGTGGCATAAGTTCAAAATACAGAAGCTTTTGATCAGATGACGATGATGTTTTGAGTAGTTTGGAGGAGAACTGGACATAGATTTTTTTTTTCCAAGATAAGAATAAAGCAGAATCTATGATACATCCATTAATTCAGAGGTTGGATGACATCTGTGTCATTCAGCATAGATGTCATAAAGTCTACACTCCACAAACTCCAACAGAAATCACCTTTTCCTAACTATTAGAAGCTACTTACATCAGTATGAATCTGCTGAAGCACATGTTTATTTTACTCCTCAATAATCAGTCTGTGTTGTTATTTACCAACATGGATCCAAGGCAGATGAGACTGAGGATCAGCTGAGGATTTGTTTTTACAGAAATAGGTTTCCTTTGTTATTCTTTGGTTTAAATTTGTTTACATTTACAGTATTTTCTGTGATATTTACAGTACTTCGATTTTCCGTCACAGTTTGAAAACCTGATTTGAGCCATATTCTAGACCCACAGAACAGTGGCCAATTAATCTTCTACGCATGTTTTTGGGTGGTGGAGCAAGCCAGAGTACCTGGAGGGAACTCACACATCCACAGGGAGAACTCCACACAGAAAAGCATCAAACTCAGTGCTAAAACTGTTCAGTACCCAACTGACCTCATGCAATCCAAAGTTGAGTAGACCTCAGGCAGGGGTGTAAAAAAGTGAGGCCCGGAATCCAAAATTTCTGAGTTTTTGGCAGAAATATACTTCTTTTTTTTCTATCTAAAATGGCCCTAGTACATGGTTGTAAAAATCCCTTCCAGGTTTCAGATCTACAGTAAATGTCAGGCGTCTTTATTTTCTTGAGTTTAGGTTGTTGTTTTTGGCCTGTGACAACATTTGAGTCAACAGTTTTGGCCAACGAGCCAAAAGTTTGGACACCCAAGGCAGGATGTGTCTCGGAGACGTTTACTCTATTTTTGATGACCTTCATTGTATTTTTGACTGACTCAGTCTCACTCCATGTGAGACCAGTAGTCCTGCTCTCTTGTTCTTGTTCTAGATGTGGCAGTTCTTTTCAATTTATTTAATCTATAAACCCATCTCTGGTCTGCTTGTGGACCAAATTACACCCAGAAAAAAACCCCCAAAAAAACATTGTTCTTTCTATTGAACTGGGTTTGTGCAGTTTTTAATTTTATAACTCCCAGAAAGCAAGCCACTTAGATAGTGTTTTGTCACTTGCAGTCCAATCTTGTGACAAAGTACATTTGTGACTTGGCAAACAGTGGCAAGGAAGAACTCCCCTTTAGGAAGAAACCTTGGGAGGAACCAGGCTCTCTGGGGTGTACCCCTCCTCCTCAGGGCTGGGTCCTCATACCAGAGAGGACTACTTCTAAAAACAGACAAAACAATATTGACTTGTAGTGAAGTGAAATAAATTAGCCAGCTTCATGGTGTGAATTGTCTTACCCTCCTCTGGTAGACAAGGATATAAGACTCCTCTGTACACATCTCAGAAATGACTGTTCCATTGGTCTCCATCACATAAATGTCATTAAAGTGGAGCCATCGATCGTTTCCGTCCTCTAAGGACTGGTCCGGGTGTAGTCCATCGCTCACGTAGTGTCCTAAAAGAAAAAGAATAGATGAGAACTTTGGGATTTAAATAATAGCCAAGTGTCTAGGCTTTTTTTAGCTTAAAATTTGAAGGTTAAATTTAAACTCTAGTCAAATTTTTAAAAATCAGACAGAAGTCTTGTAAGATGTTGTCTGACCTGTCTTTGCCGAAGAACCTACGTGGCTGATGACGCTGACCAGGCTGTACTGTAAAGATCCAGAGGCAAAAACTGTGAGCATCACACACAGCTGTCATGTCACAATCACACTTTGTCCACACAGTACCTTTCAATTTTTGGTTTTGAGTTGTACAAATCTGTGTACCTGGTCGCCAGCTACTGTCATCTCCCTGCACAAAACGATGGGGTCCTCCAGTTTGACCATCACCAGGTTCTCTGTGAAAGTGAACCTCTTTAGTTGCAAAATCAAATATCTGTAGATGAGAAACTGATACTTTAGACTTTATTGTACAGAAACACATATATATTTATATAATAACTTCACATTTTGCAGAACATATTTGGAAAATGGTGTTGCCACTCACTTGGGAAGGGTGAGAAATCCAGACCGCACAACTGATGTGTTTCCTCCACACACGCACTTAAACTCTAGCTGTCTTTCCTGTGGATAAAACAAACTGTGGGTTATTTACACCACCAAAAGCACTAAGCGTCATAAAAACATTGTCTGAATGATTAAATAAATGACTTTCTTATACCTTCTCGTGCATGTTGAGCATGTTCTGCACTGATCCTCCAGCAATCAGGTCCAGAGAGAGCATGATGAAATCCTCCTCTCTTATGGACTTAACACCACAACTGCAGATAAGAAGCAGAAAATATTACACTTGTTTCTTATTGAAATAATGAACATTGCTCAGGACAAGCAAGAAGAAATGTATGTTTAGTCGTGTGTAGAAGAGTGCTTTTACCCTTTGCATATCCTTGTGTTCCGCATTTTGAACTGTAGATGGGTCTGAACTGGGCACCTGTAACTTTTTCCTATAGTGTCCGCAGTTTTTGTCAGAAGGGGCTGCAGGTTCTTCATCTGATTCAACACAGCTGTCAGGAACTCATGGGCGTCCTAAGCACACAAGAACATGCAGAGTTAAATCAATGTCAAACACTGCAGTCAGGGAAAACACAGATCCATGTGAAGCAGCTGACTAACTTTCATGCCTTCATATCCAAACTCTGGGGCCTGGAAAGAGAGGACCTTCTTAAACCTTATAACCACCTCCAGTTTCAACCTTGAATCAGGTGAGCAGTGACATTCCACAATGTCTAAGAAGCATCTGGAAAATAAAGGCTGCTGTTTGATTTTGTCTTCAACTCACAGATCTCTCTCTGTGTGTTTGTGCACGTGTTCTTGCTGTACCTCATGAGCTGAGCCTCGGGACACAGTGCCAACACGTCCTCCTGGGATTTGATGTCTTCCACGAACTCCTTGAGCGTAAGCAAAGTCTGCAGGCTAGCGTTCATGTAGCAGATCATATTGACGTTTGGGAATCTGATGCAAAAAAGCACAGTCACGTTAGCATTATGGTGTTTAATGGCAGATCATTTTCAGTGTCATTGTTCCTGGTGGTAATGTGCGTAATTACAGGTTGCAGATGTTTTTTACCCAAGTAACATTGCATTCTGATGTTCCATACAGGTGGACTGGACCTGGATTGTAGTGAATCTGCACAAACACAAACAGAGTTGCTCAGTATGATTATAACAATTAATCTGTTCAAACTTAATGTGTTGTGGTGGAGGTACTTTGTAGGAACGTTCTGGTTTGGCTTCGAGGAAGTGTTCTCTTTTTTATAGCTTCTATACTGCTGCATCTTAGTTTCCACTTGAAGTGGGCTGCAAAGTAGAAGAAATAATTTAGAAAACCTCTTAAATAACAGACAAACTTCCCTAAACAATTTAAAATAAAAAAAGACCAATTACCTTCAGTAGTCACTTCATTAGTAATTAGGTGACAACTGAAGCCAATGGGTTCCACTGTGTTTAATTTAAGGTTGAATGCACAGCACATTTTTTCTTGTTCTTATTTGTGAAGCATTATCAAGGAATTATGAAGAATGACACCAAAATTAGTGGTTGTCATTTGTCAAAATGTAGGACATGTTACAAACACTCTGTAAGTTCAGAAGTTGCTTACCTTGTCTTTTGATCCTGAGAATCATCATCAGAATCAGGATACACTTGTATTATTCTCTGTCAGACAAACAACAAGCTATTAGAGTAAAAAAAGACAAACCTGCAGAGCTTCAGTAGAATCAAGTCCAAAATCAAGCATATAAAGTGTTAGATTTACCATGAAGCAATCAAATAGTCCACAGAAAATCTTCTTCCTTGTCTTCTTTTGTTTTTTTTCCTGAGGTGAATGTCTTGTTTGAGTGTTTTCACGCGTTGGAAATCCAATATCTTTAAACTTTGATGAAAAAATAAAAAACAAAGAAATAACTAAAATAAGTCAACAGAATAAATTCCAGATAATCCAGATTTTCCCACACTTCTACATAGTCATATGAATAAAAAACAGGGACTTACCAAATTGTATAAGCGCTTCAGCCAATCATTTATCCAGCTGTTGTTGTTGTTGTTATTATTGTTGTTGTTGTTGTGTGAGCCCTGATCTCTTTCAACTTTTTCACAAATTATACGCTTTTTCTGTGGAAGACAAGAAAAAGAAAAAATACAATTTGAAAACTGATAAAAACTGTCCTACTACTACTGTAAATCCAAACAGAGAAATCTGGAGAAGAACGGATCTAATCTGTAAACAA